ATCATCCTGAACATATTTTATTACATTTTTTTTATTTGTTTTTGTGTTTTGAGTTTTCGTAAGATCTCCATTTTCCATGTTGGGGATTCTGATATATAGCGACATTCAACATTTTAGAAATGTGTCTTCATATGTACCCACTGTGCTATTGTGTCTCCCTATTCTCATTAAACTCCAGATCGTAACTCTGCTGTTTTCATATTGTCATAGCCTGTTGTTTAAGGGACCGATGGTGGCATCTGCTGGGGAAAGTGGGTGGTGTCTGCAAGAAAGTACGAACATAATTGCAGGGAAGGACCCAGAGTGCTTCCCCGCCCTTGGGGTGTTGTGCATTTGGGTATGGATTTAAAAAACGTTTGTATGTGATTTGTTGTCTTAATTGGACTGTTACTGTATGTAAAGTTAATAGTGTTACTGTTTGAGGGAAATATCAAATCCATAATTAGGATGCAACCTTTCAAAGACAACAAAACAAGATAGTTTGAATTTAGAGCTTTTATATTCTTATTCACAACAGGACATACTTAAATAAAGATACATTTCCAGTGTCCTGAATATATATATCTCTCAATTGATCATATTTCTCACAATAACTGACTGAACTCTTGTCTTTAACCAAACTGATATACACAGCATGCACATGTTACAGCAGTTGTGTCTCTCAACAGATCTTGAAGGAAGTCAGTTTAAAGTCTCCTTCTATTTTGACGTAGCTGATGATGTCCATGTTCTCACGGTTGGGAAACTGGACCTCCTGTCCATCAGGAAGCTCCACTTCAAACATGTCTCCACACAGCTTCAACTCAATCTAAGACCGAAAAGATACATAGAGTAAGATATTTGTATTCTTAGTAGAAAATAGAACAAAGCCCAAACTCCCTGCAGGACTAAATATCACTAGGGCTAAGTGGGGGAATATGTTTCTTGTGATTTGGGTGAATCAACCCTTTTAAGCTTTTCAAAAACACCCTAGCTAAACCTTCCACAGCTTTTTGTTCTCACACATCTTCACTTCTTTCAGTCAGATTCCCTCACCTTGACATCTGTGCCCCTTTGTAAGGGGTTGTGTATTTCCCGTTTCTCCTCGCCCCAACAACCAGCAGTCTTTGAGTTGCAAACGAGAACCGCTCCATCAGTGTCATCATGGAAACGAGGGTTGAAGTGCAGAGCTAAGTCGTCTGCACCACAGCCGAGGTCGACCTGGAATCTGAGTGGATCCAAGATTATACAGTAAATGTACAGCAGTCTTAATATCCATGTGTTTGCAGAGCTTAGTACAACACACATATTCATTATTAGACATCACCAGGCTACATATACAAGTGGAAGTCAACATTTTTACAGATGTTTACATTTTCACTGCAGCAGTTAATGAGAATACATCTTCAGTCATTAAGTTAAGAGACTAATATAAAATTAGTCTGTTAGCTTACCTCTCAGCATCACGCAGAATAAACCCCTTTACTTTCAGCTGATCTCCAGCACTCAGATTCACATTCTTCAATTCAAGTTTCTGAGAAACACAATTGTTCAAATGTTACTGTTAATCATGGTGGTAGCAAAACTTTAAAATACTTTTATACCAAGCTGTCTAACTTACCATGCTCATTTTGGGTGCTGGTGTTGGTGAACAGACCTGGAGCTAATGGGAGACGTAGGAAAGGTTGGTGTTCTGTCCTGGAAGACAAACTGTAAGTAGTGTGACTGCAGTTTCCCCGAGTTTATTCTGTAAAGCACAAAGGATTCAGTGAAAGGACTTTGATCAGTTACGTGGCCAATTCATCAGCATGATAACTCAGCTTATTCAATACAGAGGCACTGCTCTGTTTAATCAAAGAATAAAACAAAAAGGATTAATTGCCTCTTTGATCACAGAACAGGTCGTGAGTAACAGCTGTCACAGTGCTACAAACTATTCTGCCAAGAGCTGTTTACATATTTTTAGATTGGGAGCCATTGTGCACATTGATGAGGGTCGAAGTAACTGAGTACTATAGTACTTAAGCAGCAGTGTCGGGCAGTAACTTATTACTAATTATTAGTATTCTTAGTTACAACCTTACTGTTGTTGGCACCCCCTACTGATTTGACAATCAAATCACATCTTTGGATTTATTTTTCTAATCGTTGCTTAGAAAGATGAAAACATTTATATTCACCAGCAGAAATAATCCCATTACTTTTACTGACAAACAAAACTGGATTTTAATCATCGTAAGGCTGAATTCAGGGAAGAAAGGACACAACCAACAATTCTGTGGAGAGTAGCAGAAAAGTAACTAGTAGTGTAACTAATTACTGTTGACAGGGAGTAATAAGTAAAGTAACAATATCAATTTTGAAAAGGGAAATTAGTAATAAAATTATATTTCATGATTGTTATCCATTAAATTAGAGAACATTATTATATTTGATGAAATCAAATATATGATTATTATTGATACTCAGGCTATTTTACATGCTCTGGCCCTATTAGATTGCTCTACATGTCTTAATTTGTCATTATTTTTACATTTATTTATTTATTTACTGTGTGTGAGTTTGCTCCTTGTCATTTTCAGTGACTGTGTGATAATTCCTTACTTTACTATCGATATCATTTTTAATCAAATAAGTAATTTCTCAATTTAATTTTATCTTAAGTTATAAGGTTAATCAGGATTTCTTCAGCTAATTAAAGAATTAAATTAAGCGGATAGTTTAGCATCACATACTGTAAACTTGTACCTTGTGTTTTATAACAAATAAACAAATAACCCTGTTTAATTTTCTACAGCAGCGCCCCCAACACGAGGCCTGTGCAATTCAGGGTTAGGGTCATGTAGCCTTATTGGTTTATGACGTTTAGGTATCCGATCTCACATCAGTGCACAACTAAATCTCATCTAATTATTTAAATCTAAAATATTTATTTTTAGGCTATTTGTTTTAATTCAGGGTGGGTGAAAATAGTGTGGCTTTTTAAGAACTTCAAGAGCCAAACCCCTTTTATGTAGCAGTTCTTTATTAAAAAATATAAAGTGGTTGTATTTTTATTTTTAAAAAATAATTTAGGAGAAGGTAACGGCTTTTTTTTAAAATAAAAGTCAAGTGAGATTCAGTCCCACTCCAAATAACTTCCGTAGTGTCTCTATGCGGCACACAGATACTAATATTGATTATTTGATGGAGTTATCGACCTGCACCGTATTGATGTGTTACAAGTGGTCACAGTGAGGAACGGAAACAAGAAATTCGTCAAACTACGTCAATGCAGACGTGATAGAATACACTTCCGGTGAACGCAATTAAAGTAAAGTTCTGGCAAACAAGCTGAAGCAATTATTACAAAAATAGAGCTGTGTGTAAAAGATAGCACTTGGCTGCCTACTTCTTTACCATTACACAACCCCTTGGTCGTTATAATTCCCCTTATATATTGACGCTGGAGGGATTGATCACTACAGAACAATTATTTCCGTGTTGCTTCAGTTTGACCACTTTATTTTGAAAGTATTCACCGGAAGTATCAGTGTAACGTTAGCTTGTGAAACTTCATCCACGATGGTCTGCAGTCGTTATTGACAGCACTGACGGGAGGTGTGGGTGTCGGTTGACAAGCAGAAAACAATCAGTAGTTAGATTGTTTTTATTCAGTGAGGTTTAAAGTATTTACCAGAAGCCGTGTCATGTCTGCAGTGACGCTACTTTTATTAATGTAATGTGTTGCAGTTACACACTGTGGCCACAGGATGGCGCTGGAAACACGTGGTTGTAAATTAGTCACAGTGTAAAACTGTGATACATTAAAATAGGTTCATAACACGGACGGAAGCCGGTGAAGGCTGTAAGTTAACTGGGCTAAAGTTACCTACTACCGACAATAAGTACTATTGGAGAAGTTTGCGAGCACAGACAGCGCAGCTCGACTAGCGCCGACGGTCATGTGACGATGATGCTGCGATAAACACATGGACAGTATGGATTAACAGGATTATTTTATGACATGTTTTTATGCTTGATAGCTCCAGTTTGGTCCAATTGTTTGTTCCCTGTAATTTGAAAGTACTTACCGGAGGTGTTAGTATAGTGTCACGTCTACATTGACGGTAGTCTGAATGAATGAACGAGTTTAGTGTTGCAGTTCCTCACTGCCACCACAAGGGGGCGGTAAAGACTCGCGATTTAACGTTGAAGGTTGTTTTTAAATCATTACATGGACTTTATATTGATTGATAACCAAGTGAACATCAGTACAGATTGTCAGTATACATATTTTTCAGTGAATCAGTGAGGAACGCGGAGTTGTTTCTAATTGTGACCACTAAAAAAAACAATTAAAATTATATTAGTCTTTCTTTAACGCCAACTTCCGCTATTCTACCGGATGTGACGACATCAAGTAAACAGGAGCTGTCACTAGAGCCATTACGATAACTACTACAGGAAGCGATTCTTTTATGCATACTAAAGGACATTTATATGAGAAACTGGTGCATATTCTAATAAAGGTAAATCTTTTACGGCGTAAAAACATTTTATTTAAGAAGCGACATTTGCTTTTCCACCTGCCAGTAGCCTACAGTAGCTAACAGCTAGCTAATGAGACAGCGTTAGAAGGAGTCTTCCTGCTGTTTGCTCTCAGCACTACAATATTAATAATAATGTTAATTAATAATAACGTCAGTTGTGTTTACCGCAAAGGTCGATGTGTTAAGTTAAACTGTTTTAACTGGCTAACGTCGCATACACTACAAGAGACCAGCTGTTTGTCTCCTCACTTACTCTCCTTTTATCAATGGATCAGTCGAAGCTTCATGTTGAGCGCAGTCAGATCATACATACAGTATATATCCCACCTGAATGTCTCAGATCTAATTAAAGCACATGTTATTTAAGCGGTAGATGAGACTGAGAGAGCTGCTGAAGACAAACTGTATTCATCATATCGATCCTCAGGTACAGTCACTGCAGTGTTTAAAGTAATGGGTTTTGTGATAATCACTCACAGGTTTTACAGGGACAGGAGTGACACTGTCCTGACATGTTCACAGACATGGACTATGAATTGGAGGAGGACAAACTGTGAGTTACAATTATGTTTTTTCTTTTCGTGATCTGTGCCATGCATTTATGTGTTCACTGTGTATAGTAGGATGTCTTCTGTTCATACAGGAGACCACATACACTGACAAATCAAACCATGCCTGGACTGACCCTTAAAGCTGTAGTTAATGAGCCTTGCGCTTTGCAGTCATTACTCTCGTTGTTGATCTGATTTCAAGAACTTTATACTATAATATTGTACCTCTTAGAATTCTCCAAAAACATGGGAAACTAAATGCTGCAAATCTCAATGTATCATGTTCTCTCATCATCAGGGGGATACCAACAGTCCCTGGTACTGTGAGTCTGAAAAAAGATGCTAATAACCTTATTGGGATCAGTATTGGTGGTGGAGCACAGTACTGTCCATGTCTCTACATTGTCCAGGTAGGTACAGAACAATTGTTTGTAACCGTGTGACAGAACGTTTCTACGATGTTTTAAGTTTTTGAATTAAATGCCATCATTAAGCATAAATTGATTCAGCTCCATTTGAAGTCAGGGGGGAAATTGGTACCTTTTTAATGTGGCTTTAATGTTGTCTCGCAGGTCTTTGATAACACCCCAGCAGCTCTGGATGGGACACTGGCAGCAGGCGATGAACTCACAGGCGTGAATGGAAAACCAGTGAAGGGAAAGACTAAAGTGGAAGTAGCCAAGATGATTCAAGCTGTCCAGGTACAGAAATACTGGGAAATCACCATCCATTGTTATTTACAGTCTTGAACAACACCAAGTTATGCTCAGACTGTTTAGTATTTACCTCTTCTATGTTCTGTGGATACGCACAGTCTAGATTATGACCGATTCAATGCATTCTTCTCTGTTAGTGATTTAAGTAGTTGATGACTTAGATAGAAAATGAAACCCAGCCTCCTCCCAAATGCAGGTAATTTACTGCTGTGGCTGGTGGGTTTGTTCATGTTTCAAATCTGTCTTTATTTGAATGTTGGTTTATGTAAATATCCTATTTCTCTGAAAAGTTCAAAGACAAACTAATGTAACTCCCCACCACTGATGACGACTCTATTTTAATGACGCACACATGGACATGAATAGAAACATGCAAAAGGAATAAACCATTACTCACATTTTTGTTGCAGATTTATCAGTGAATAGTCCAAGAGTTTAGTAATTATGTGTGCAAACCCTCCACCGGACTGTGGAGAAGAGGGACTTTAACCGGCTTGCTCAGCTGTGCTAAAGAGGTCGGGACAATAGCCCATAGCATGTGGCATAACGTCACCGATGTAGAGTGGCTGTGTTGTTTTTGGCATTCATTGTTCACACCAAAAATTCCATGACTTCCTGTGTGATGGATTAAAGACGGGGTGCCGTGTGGGATTTAAAGGATTAGATTGTTTTGTTGTTCATTCAGTGCATGTGAATATCCCCCTCTGCACCGTGAAGCTGGAAAAGTTGCACATTGTTGTTTTTACCACATGTAATAGGATAACACATTGTATTTTAATTGTTAATTTTGTAGTTTTATAACGTTTATTGAATGGTCCTCGTCTAAATATATCTATTAATAGTATATATATATATATATAGATATATTTTTGTTGTTGATTCATCTGCGTATTTCTTTGTGTTTTCACAGGGAGAAGCAATAATTCACTACAACAAACTGCAGGCAGACCCGAAACAGGGGAAGTCTCTGGACATAGGTATCTCTTCCACTAGACACGTTCTCTCTATTAATCTTGATTCACTGTTTGTTTATATTACTGAATGTTGTGCTGTAATGCACATTAAACACATTTTGTGTGTTTCAGTGCTGAAAAAAGTCAAACATCGCCTGGTAGAGAATATGAGCTCAGGCACAGCAGATGCTCTTGGACTCAGTAGAGCTATTCTATGCAACGGTGAGATTATTATTATGAACATTATGATTTTATTAGTTTATTCATATAGGTAGATATAAAGCTCTACTCCTGTGGATTCATTTTACAGATGGACTGGTCAAAAGACTGGAAGAGCTGGAGAAAACCGCAGAGCTCTACAAAGGTAAAAAATAATCAACTTAAAAAATTGCCCCTCAGTAATCTTCAGTGTTGTATTTAGTATGATAACTTTCCACCATCTTCTGTGTTTTGTGAAGCTGTAATCTAATGTTTAATCAAATAGCTAGTGTGAAAATTCAACTTGTTGCTGTTTTTTCAATCCAGTGTCTCATTATTCCTCTGCTTGCTTGTAGGATTGATGGAGCACACAAAGAGGCTGCTCCGAGCTTTCTTCGAGCTCTCTCAAACCCACAGAGGTGAGTAACTTTGATCAAAGTCAGAAAATTTGTGTTACCAATTGGTTTGGTGCTCCTTTTTTACCTTTGACATTGACTTGCAAAAAAAAAGAATTCATGGACTTTGGACGGATCATCTTCATAGATTTCAGTTTATCCTAGCTTTAGTGTCTAAAGCCCAGTCCACACAGGTTATATACTATTTTTTCTGTGACCCACACGCAGTTCATCAGTCAGTTCTGTTCATAGTCATATCTACATGCCAGCAACATGTACTCTTTTCACTACAGTTTCAGTGTCTATATCTGTAGAATATGTCACAGACATGGAACAAAACATCAGACAGAATCCATTCATATGTTAACAAGGCTTTTATTGTGCTGTATTTATCAAAGGCAAACTCAGTGTAGAAACATAGGACTGCTCATCCTATGTGGGCGAGCTGTAATATATCTGATGGGTGTTTTTCAGCTTTTGGGGATGTTTTTTCTGTCATCGGTGTGCGAGAGCCCCAGGCCGCAGCCAGCGAGGCTTTTGTGAAGTTTGCTGATGCTCACCGCAACATTGAGAAATATGGTATTCAGCTGCTGAAGACCATTAAACCTGTGAGTACACATACAAGCTTGGCTTTGAAGCCCTTGAAAACACAGCAAATGTTTTTTACATATGTTTTAATGTGCTACCGTCTTCTGAGCTTTGCATGAATGATAGAACTACAAAACACACTTGTTTGTTTATTGTGTGTCTGTCATATCAAACCTCTGACCAATCATATCTTGTTGTGCAGATGCTCCACGATCTGAACACGTACCTTCATAAGGCCATACCAGACACAAAGCTCACCATCCGCAAGTATCTGGATGTGAAGTTTGAATATCTGGTAAGGCAACAGCACTCTTCACTTCTGTGCATTGTACAACGTAGTTCCATCACTTGTAAATGTGTTCAACAATGAATCCCTTGTGTCTTTCAGTCATACTGCCTGAAGGTGAAGGAAATGGATGATGAAGAGTACAGCAGTATAGTGAGTTGTCATTTGAATTCTGGTGTGAGAATTAAATCAGAATGATATAAACAAGATTTACAGGTTGCAAACGGAAATATGTGTTGCTTTTCACATCTCTCAGAGAAGCAGTGAATAATGTACCTCTCCCTACAGGCCATGGGAGAGCCCCTCTACCGTGTCAGCACCGGTAACTATGAGTACCGTTTGGTGCTGCGGTGTCGGCAGGAGGCTCGAGCCCGCTTCGCCAAAATGAGGAAAGACGTTCTGGAGAAGATAGAGCTGCTAGATCAGAAACACGGTCTGTTGTTGTTTTGTTTTGTTTGTTTTTTCAGCTTATTTTTTAATCAGGTGTAAACGGGCTCTGGTGATACACCTTCATTACATCAATCTGATCAGTGTCTCTCTATCCACCACAAATGAAACAATGTCTGTCACTCTTTCCAACTATCCAGTCATGCCAAGATGTATTAAGTCACAGGTCTAAACACACAGAAAGTCAGATTTTTGCTCACATTGCCATCTGATATTTAAAACAGGATGTGAGAGATGAAGGCCTGGAACAGTATAAATCCTACACGAGACACAAAAGAGAGAGAAGTGTCCACTGTTTCAATTCTCAGTTCTACTATAAATGTTTCAAAACAGTTTCAAGACAAAGATTTACACTTTGAGAGATTATCCAGATAATAACATATACTAACCCAGTTTTGGCCAAGATAATCTTAGTGTGATATTTTCATATTGGCTAAAGAGGCTGTGATGCTTAGAATGTGAAAGTACATTATCAGGATTTAGTCAGCAAAAATGCACCAACAAGCAAAGATACAGAACAGAACAAATGGAAAAAGTGATGCAAAAATAAACTTATCTCCCTCTCGTGTTCTTCACCCACAGTCCAGGACATTGTGTTCCAGCTGCAGCGCTTCGTCTCGGGCATGTCACATTACTACGACGAGTGCTACGCTGTCCTGAAGGAGGCGGACGTCTTCCCCATCGAAGTGGACCTCTCCCGCACCATGATCAACTACAGCAGCCAGTCTCTCTCCTCTTACACTGGAGATGAGGACGAGGAGGAGGAGGAGGAGGGAGGAGGCGGACAGGAAGGAGGAAGGAGTGCAGACAGACAAGCAGAGAACGGCGCTGAAAAACTGATCGATGACGAATGAGTGTGTGTGGAGATGAAGTCCGACCCTCAATCATAACAGTTCTACACTTGCATTTAACGCCAATGCACACACTAATCAGTGATCTGGATAACACTTGTTACAAAGGTGAAAAACGACTGAAATTGCTGTTATGATGCTGTATGTGTCCTTCCTGGGATACTCTCAAATCAACAGCTTTGTTATTATTTTACCATAGAAACTTTTGACTGTCAACTTTCTCTTTAAGAAAAAAAAAAAAAAAGATTCCCCCTTAATGACTGTGAGAGACACAACTAACAGGGAAACTTAATTTTAATCTAAATGTGGGGTTTTAATGCAGCAGAGTAGGGTTTATATGCATATGAAGTGTGCCTTCTTCAGTCTTAATGAAGTGTAATAGGTCAGTGTGCGTATGCTGGATTGTTACAAGTTATATCTTGATATTTACATTTTTATTTTGTTATTTTCTTTGCTGCAAACTTGTCATATTTCGGACAGGGATGTATTTAGCAATCTAAAATGTTATTTTGTGGTAAATGTCAAGTGTCACTACAGATACATGACACTGATGGTTAAATATAGAAAGTCTGAAGATGATGAAGACGATGATGGACACACAGATGTGATTGTACACTCCTTTGTACTCTGGTTGTTCTTTCTTCTTCTTAGCATATTTTTAGTTGTTACACAAGGGAGAGCTTGCATTTGTCACACAGATTCTTCACAACCAAAGTTTTTTTAAGGTCATTTAATCTGCCTCACCCACGTATACTCACTTCCAGTGAAAATATCTCGTAACACTCACTTCCCCTCAGCAGAATGTGTTTTCCCCACACTCTGGTAGTGTTTCTGTCTAGGAGGAGAAAGCTAATGGACACACACAGACGCCTCACAGAGCTTTACCACTGTGTGGAAACAGATTGAAAAGTGCAAAAACTACATGTAAATAAGTACACAAAAGGGAAGGGTGTAAAAATTCTGTTGTAATCTTTCTTGTCATTCCCACTTTATTTATTCTTTTTGTCAGAATATATTTAAAAGTTTTAATGAGCAAAATCGATTCTATATTATAGTGAATATAATTAACCACTTGTGTGTCTTGTCTTCAGGGGGATAAAATGGTTTTGTTCATTTTTATGATTTACTGTTGGGAACATTTATCATCACAACAGATGAAGTCAGTGAATTAAAAAACATTTTGTTCCTGTATTGTTTTGTTTTCTTTTTTT